GTTTTCTCTTTCTATTCAAAGTCTTCAATAGTTTGATCTTCAAAGAAGATAACATCTCTGCTTTTCATAATTTTCTTCTCCTTTGGATCTCACAACCTATAACCAAACTCATCATCTTCAAAGCCCAAGAAAATACACTGTTTTGTCTTGCTGTCAAGCTTAAACCTTTCATCTATAGGAACATGTACAAATGCTTTGCATCCAAATACTCTTAAGTATGTATAAGAGACATTCTTTCCTTTCCAAACTCTATTTGGAACATCAAATTCAAGAGGAATTGATGGAGAAAGGTTGATCATGGCAACTACAGTTTTCATTGTCTTACCCCAAAAGGACTTAGGCAGCTTTGCATAAGAGAACATATATCTAATTCTTTCAATAATGGTTCTGTTCATTCTCTCAGCCACTCTATTCTGCTATGGAGTCTTAGGATATGTCTTCTCCAACTTGATACCATGTTCCCTGCAGTACTTCTAAAAAAAACCCTTGTATTCACCACCATTGTCAGCTCGAATACATTTGAGTTTTCTATCAGTTTCTCTTTCAATTCTGGCAAGGAAATCCTTAAAGACATCAAGCACCTGATCTTTGGATTTCAAATAAGTGGCTCAAATTTTCCTGGAGTGATCATCAATAAAACTAATGAAGTACAATGCACCCCTAAGAGACTTATCAATCATAGAGTAAACATCAGTATGAACTAAATCAAGAACATGTGATCTTCTATGTAAAGGTGATATTTGGAATGCAACTCTGTGTTGTTTACCAACTAAATAATGAGTACATGTGTTCAAGTTCATACCTTTTAATGGAAGGTAGTTCTTCTCGGCAAGGATGCCAAGACCTTTCTCACTCAAATGTCCAAGTTGCTTATGCCATAGATCAGTAAAGCAATCTTTAATTGCATTCACCTTTCATTTGATCACATTGGCTTATGATATGTAGAGACCCATCTTCTCCCCTTTAGCAACAATTAGGAAATTTCTGGAGAGCTTCCATTTACCATGTCGAAAGTAATTGTGATAGCCTTCTTCATCAAGAGTACCTGTAGAGATCAAGTGTAGGCGCATATCAGGCATATGCCTAACATCTTTGATAGCAACTTGCACCCAGTATTGATTTCCAACCAAATGTTTCCAATGCCCATAATACTAGCCATCCCTTGATTTCCCATCCTAAGTTGACCAAAGTCACCAGCAGTGTAGGATGTGTAAAAGTCATGTCGGGGTGTAACATGGTAAGAAGCTGCTGAATCTACAAACAATGGCAACATCACCATTAAATACAACCGCAGTTGTACCATTCTTTTCATTCTTGTCTTCATCTTTATCCTTTTTATCTCTTTTATACTTTCTCTAATCTTTTTGTATATGCCTAGGCTTGTCACAATAACAACACTTAAAACCCTTTATTGACTGAGATCTTCCTTTAGGCTTCTATTTGCCTTTTCTACTGCTGGATTCTCTATCTTGCTTGCCGTGAGAGAACTTGCTTGGACTTCTCCCTCGACTTTTTGTAACAAGTGCATGAGACTCAAAAATGTTTGTTCCTTTCCTCCTCTTCTCTTCATTGAGGATACAATCCTTCACTGTTTTCAAAATGATCTTTCCATTCGGAATAGAATTACTAAGTGACACCGCCAAAGTCTCCCAACTATCCGGCAATGAACTTAATATGATTAGTGCTTGCATTTCATCGGCTGACTCAAGATTCATCAATGACAGTTGATTCAAGAACCCTTAGAATGCATTTATATGCACTAAAGCATCTTCACCATCTCTATACTTCAAATTTACAAGGTCTCTAATTACAAAAACCTTGTTTTGTGCACTCTCTTTAGCAAATGTTTCTTCCAACATCTTCTAAATTGTATAACAGTCATGTTCTTGAGAAATATGATTAATAGACTTAGAAGATACTCATTTTCTAACATTAGCAGTAGCCTTTCTATTAAGCCCATTCCATTTTGCATCATCCATTTCATTAGGCTTTATTCCTTTACATTCAATTGGCAAAGCCAAATCATTGCAATATAAGTGATCCTCCATCATTGTTTTTCATAGAAAATAATTTAAGGAAGTAAGCTTTATCATGCCCGAATCTTCCTTTTCCATTTTAACTACACAAGAAATTCAATTTACATAACTAATATTCTGATACCACTTTATTGGGAAAACTAGGAACAACCGGACACCAATTTACTTAGATCAATTCAACGGAATACAATTCACAAGTCCCAATCCTTTTTCCTTTTTGTGCAGTAAAACAGAATCAAACAATGATCAAATATAATGCAAATAATCACACAAATCAACACTAAAATTTTTAACATGAAAAACCCGATGCGAGAAAAGCCACGAGACCATAGTCCATTTAAAACCTTCCACTATCAACAAATAATAGGTTTACAACTTTTCTTCCTTAAATTCAACTAAGGGTTACAACATAAATAATATCAAGAATAACTTATTCTTGGAATACAACAAGATTAAAAAAGAAGTATTTGAGAAAAACTCATAATACTGACAGCCCCATTTTTTGTAAACACGGCTAGCTTCCACACCACCAATCTTCTATCCAACCGTTCAAAATAAAGAGTAACATTACTATCATGACACACACACTGTTTTTGTAGTGCCCAGTTTTCAAAGCTCGTGCGAGTCTCCGAAGTTGCCAATTCTTCAGTGTCATGGGTCTTTCCTCCTCCTCCTCTTCATCACCATCTTTATCCTCAATATCATCTCCAACTGAATTAAACATTTCTACCTCATCATCATCATCTCCACCAACTCTTGGTGCCTCCTCTTAACCCACATTGAAGTTTTTCAAGGTTTTCTTCACTAAACCATCACCATCACCTACAGACAATTCATCATTTTCAAGGTCTTCTTATAACATAACAAACAATGCTCAAATGCATCTTCCCCCTTCCTCACTACTCTCTTAGAAAAGAAAAGGAAAAAGAAAACACACACACACACGTATATAAATGAAAATCTTTACTTCAGATTTGTACTAAAATTAATAAGATAAAAAAATGATTAAAATTACTCGAAAAAAATAAACACAATTTTTATCTTGATACAATTGAATTAATTACAAAAATAAAAAACAATCCATTCATTGTAAGGAATAGAATGCTTCAATTTCACTCAAACTACTTTCCTCCACATTCCTTCTCCTTCAATTTTTTCCTCCAATTTTTTCAGTAACCAAACACACGCTTTCACCATGACCCTTTGCAATCTTATTATCTATCATACAGTGAAAAATCTCAAATGGGCTATGAAAAAATTCAATTTTAAACAAATGGGTCATTAAAATTTTCATTTTTCCCGGCCATTTCAACTTAATTATTACTAATATTTTAATCTGGCCTTCTTTTTCTTTGAAGAGGAAGTGAATGCAGAGTTGTTGTTTCGACGGGGGGAGAAAGTGAGAGCGGAGGAGGCGAGAGAGTGACGTGGCCGAAGAAAGTGCCGTTGAGGCATTTGAATAAAGCAAACGCCATTTCTTCTATCTCAACTCTCCTGTAGCAGCAGCGGCAAATTCATCTTGTTTGGTTTTGTATTTAGAAAAGGTTTTTTTTTAAAAAAAAAAAATTATTATTTTTTATTTTAAATTATTATTATTTTTTATTTTTAAATTTTTTTAATATATTAATGTTAAAAAATAATTTTTTTATCTTGATATAATTTTTAAATAAAAATATTTTAAAAAGTTATTTTCATCGTACTTCTAAATATCTTCTAAGTCTAATAAATATCTTTTAAATTTATATTAATTATATAATGCTGGAAAAAGTTTATTATCATTTATTTTTTATTTTAAAAATAAAAATTATTTGTTCCGGCCAGCAAGAAATAACTTTTAAAATAAAATAAATAAAAATATATAAAATAAAAAGAATAGTTAGGATTAAATATTTAGATATGTATTTATTTATTTATTATTATAATGATTAGTTTTTTATTTTAAAATTTACTTAACTTTAATAAAAAAATTTCAATTTATCCATTATTTTTTTTAAATTATTTTATTAAACATATATAATATATTTTTTTATTTAATAAAAAAATTATAGTACTAAAAATCATATTATAAAGTTAACATCTTTATTTTTTAAAAAACAAAATTATTTTAAAACACTAACCATAACACATGCAGATCACATAAGTAATTTCTACACTAAAATATAATAAAATAATAAATTTATGATTAAAAATGGTATTTGAAAATGTACTAAAGACTATTTTTAAAAATAAGTTTTACTTCAAAATATATGAAAATAATATTTTTTTATTTTTAAAAAATTATTTTTAATATTATTATATTAAAATAATTTAAAAATAAAAAAAATTATCTAATTTTTTATTTTAAAAAAAGCAAATCACCAAAAACGATTCGAAATGCAAAGTCAATAGCTATAGGGCATAAAGAAAGACTTGCGAGGTCAAGTCGGGCTCTCTCTCATAATGCATTGAGAGTTGGAAAATTGAGCTATTGACTAGCAGAAATCTAGTAGGCAATTGAGCTAGCTACCTCCTCAAGGGCTTGAGTCGAGAGTTCCAGGTACGCAACTAGGATCTCACCCCTCTTTGTAGGTAAGGAAGGTTGGTGTGCATTATTGTGCTTTGGCTTTTCCTTTATTTTTGGATCTGTATCTTGTTGTGTATGCCTTCAAGATGTTTTCTTTTCCTTGTGCTGATACTCGACTTGACCATTCATGGTTCTGGAAAAAGTAAAGTTACGCACAGCAGAAAGTTTCCTTCAGCATAACTGTTATTTACTATTACTCCCACCTTGTCAATTTACTGGATTTTCCTTACAGGCCCTGAAAGAGTAAGAATTAATGTAGAGAGATAACGGAATATTTAGCTGTTCTTTCTTAATTTACCTGCAGATTTACCAGTGAAGGTTTTGTTCATTGTGTTGCCAGTGGTCAGAGTCCTCTGCTTCGATTACAAGTGTGGAAATTGTTGAAGCAGTGAGGTGAATAGATGGCAGAAATAACCAATGATACTTTGGTCAATATCGACGAACTAGCAGCTTCAATGAGAGGGGAGTTAGAAAGCTTGCCTGTTCTGTCCTCAAAGTGTTGCATCTACACAGTTCCTAAGCGACTGCATCATTTGAACGAAAAGGCTTACACTCCTCAACTGGTCTCAATTGGGCCACTGCACCATGGCAAACCAGAACTAAGACCGATGGAAGAGCATAAAAAGAGGTACCTTCAAGATTTTCTTCAAAGGACAAAGTGGAGTCTGGTGGATTATCTTAAAGTCATAGGGAAAAATGAGAAAAAACTACGAGATTGTTATGCGGAAATCATAGGATTTAGCAGTGATGAGTTCATAAAAATGATTCTAGTGGATGCTGCCTTCATCATTGAAGTCTTGTTGAGGTATCATTCCAAACCAATGCGAAATGAAAAGGAAAATGATCGAGTATATAATAAACCATGGGCGATACTAGATATAAGGAAAGATATGTGGTTACTTGAAAATCAGCTTCCTTTCTTTATTCTGGAGGATCTTTTTGATCCTGCAAGAATAACCTTGCCGTCTGGCGAAAATCAAACGCTTTCAATCACCAAGCTTGCCTATGAGTTCTCAAAAGATTTGTGGGACTTGGAGGAAATGGAGGAGAAATCTCAGAAAAACAAATCCCCTAAAGTGCATCATCTAGTTGACTTTTTGTGGATTTGCCATCAACCTCCTCAGTCGAAATCCAAGAAGAAACTTAAAACTCTGGGCATACCCAGTGCAACAGAGCTCCATCAGGCTGGGGTCAAGTTCAAGCTGGGGGCAAGCAAAAACTTATTTGACATAAAATTCAAGAATGGGATTTTGGAGATACCCAGATTGGAAATAGTCGGTGCGACAGAGCTGTTATTCAGAAATCTGCTGGCATTTGAGCAATGCCATTGTTCTAAGAACTACATAAATGACTATGTCATCATTATCAATCACCTTGTCAACACGGCTAAGGATGTGGAATTACTTGTTAAAGATGGAATTGTTGAGAACTGGCTCTGGGATGATGAAGGGATATCAGCTCTTTTTCATGGCCTTGTCAAAGAGACTTCTGTCATCATCGACGATTTCTATTTTTCTGGTCTGGTTGAAAAGCTGAATGCATAGTGCAGAAAACCTTGGCACAAGTGGCAGGCAACCTTAAAACAACACTACTTCAATAATCCATGGTCCATCATTTCATTTATCGCTGCTGTCATTCTACTTGTACTCACTACTATACAAGCAGTGTGTTCTATTTTGTCAGTGTAGGTGCTACCAAACTGATTTTCATAGTGTTTCAAGTTGCTTTGATTTGAGCAGACTGCGAAGCTTTACCTTGTGATTGCAGTCTCTATTCTGTTGTCAACGTTGATTTTGTCTGATGACTCTGTTCCTGTAACACTGCAATCAACTAGCTCAATATGTTGTCAGTAATGGTCCAAGTAGTTTTTGCATGATCTAGAAGGAATTCTGAATATGAACAGAATAAAAAACACTATCCTCTTACAAGCTGACAAGGTAAGAAGAGAAGGAACAATACCAGCACCCTCAATAATGATGATAAGTATACTTGCAAAGCAGGGCACATAAAAAAAATGAAGCAAATAAAGAATCCATGTCCTCGAGACATTTCTTACGTTAGTCGTGGCTTTGCAAGTTGAAACCATGAAAGAAAAACAATAGAATCAAGGTTTTATCCGTTCCTTCTACAGTCACAAGAGCAATTGCTTAAGATTTACACCTACAGGTGAAAGGAAAAAAAAACTATATTTTCGTACGGATTAAAAAGCTGAAGATCACCCTCGTATACTATTGTGTTAGCGCTTGTCAAGGAACCGCTTCAACTTAAAATTTTAAATTTTAGATGAGATTTATATTACTCTCTAAGAGTCCATTCAACTAACAGATGCACATGACAGAAAAAAGAGACTGGATAAGAACCTGACTTTGAACAGAGCACTGATGCTTAATATGTTGTCAGAAAAAAGAAACATCTTTTCATACCATTCCAAAGGTAAAAACTCTTATAGGGTTTCACCTGATGAGTGATATAACATCAAATTCAGGTGCATAGCACCATTTCTCTTTTTTTTTCTCAACGCACTTTGCACCATCGACAAACTTCTGTCACTCTTAAACATTCACCACTTGATATTGAATTCTTTCAGCTAGAACATTTCATCGAACATGTAGTGGGCCTTAAATCCAACAAGAAAAATGGACGATTAACTCATCGTGAACTATTATGTGCTAAAGAAACACTAAAATATGATGAAATTAGTGGTGAAGAAACAGCTTAGAAACTTGAACTAAATTTGCTGTTGCTTGTTTTGAATCAAATGGCGGTTGTGGAAGATTTTGCCTGATTTCTTCGGAATTGAAAAATATGGGCTTTTTTTATATTACGGATTTTTCTGTTCCAGCCCATCTGGGTTCATGATACTGGGATGGGCCAAATATTGCCCTGAATGGCGCAGGTATTGGCCCATGATCTTGATATGCCTATTCGTGAATATTTATGGTTTCCACTTTTATATATATTAGTGAGATTGTGAATACTTAAATAATTTGATTTGAAAATATAGTGGAAAGCGTATTTAAATAAAAATAAGAATTTAATTTAATTTATTTTTTTAAAATCAAACACCAAATTCTATTGCTAAGAAATAATATAATGAAATTATAGTTTACTCAATCATTAAATTATTTTTTCAAATATATTAAATTTTAAAATAAATAATTAAACCAATTATTTATCAAATAAAATATTTGCATCCATCAAGACAAAGCTAACGTCTAATATCTATAGAAATATAAGATAATAATTTCATCACAAATACATATTTTTAGTAATCATTCGATCCTCTTCATCATCAAATCCAATTTCTTTGAAAACGTGACCAAATTCTATTTCTCTATATTATGCATGGTTTAATTATTATATTAATTCTTAAATAATGATATTCATTTTCTTTCATAATCTAAAAAAAATTCACTCCTCTGATAAAAAAAATTATTTCTTATACTTTTTGATAAAAATAATCTTTAGTTAACTAATTTAACTCAATTAATAAAAAATTAATTTGCTCTAATTCATTTTTTTAATTATCATGAATTATCAAATTGTATAAAATTATAAATGTTTATACTAAGCAATTATTTTTTTTCCATTAATTTGATGAGATAAAAAAACCAAGCTTTTTATATGAATACATTCTTAAAAAATAATTTCTTAAACTAAAATAATGATGAGTGTGTGTGTTATTAAAGGGATATTTGTGAAAAAATTAATAATAATAATTTGGTTTTATCTCTACGCCACCTCTTTGTCCTTCCTTTTTATATAGATAAACAAAAAATTAGCTAAAACTTATTTATGAAATAGAGTTAAAAAAAATTATCTAATTAAATACATTTTTATTCCAACCATCTTTATCTTTTTATTATAAGAAAATAATCAAACGTTATCTATCATATTTAGATTACAGATTACTGAAGAATCATACCAGAGCCAAACTCATGAGCTCTCCTTATGTGAAAGTCGAACCTATCACATGATGAGTTAAAGGACATATCTTTTTACCACTCTATTTATAATTCTTAATGTTTTATATGTACGGCTAAGTTATAACCATGTAGGGATCCACCTTGTGGGTACTTTAGGCAATTGCCCACACAACCAAAATAAAATAAAATCAAACGAAATATATATTATGATGAAATTGGTAACGGATTTCGACTAATAAAAGAATTAAAAAAAATTAAAATAGATCTATTCTGAGAATGAAAAATTAATTTTAAAAAATTATAACATAAATGAGAAATAATAATTAAGAAAGAACTATACCAAAATATTTTAATGTAAAATCTAATTAAAAATCAATAATGTTACCATAGAATTATAGTAAGTTTGTAAATAATATAGATGATGAAAATAAAAAATAAATATATTTTAGAATAAGAAAATGGGTCTTAGAAACTTAGTAAAATAATTAATATGGTTTTAGCAATGATTGAATAAAAAAAATTGGATTTTGATATTAAATTATTTATTGATTAGTTTTATGCATTCAATATAACTCTTATTCTAATTGTCATATTGGACTAAAATTTTATGAAAAGCCTTTTGACACATTGCTCTTTTTTGGATTAAAAATTCAAGGTATTATAGGTTTGGAAAGACCATGCGAGAATATCAACAATCAAATAAAAAATAACATAGAGGCTCATTAATGATATTTTCATAAATAAGCTAGGAAAATTAGAAATTTAGCTTTTTCTTCTCCTTTAAATTGTTATTTTGTGCTGAGAAAAATTAGAAGAGAAAAAATAATTTTGAGAGCTTCCTCACAAAAATCTCGAATAGAAACTAAGATTTAAGGCAAAATAGATAAGAAAGAAACTATTAAACACATCTAATTCAATAATTAAAAAAAATAAGTGAGGAAAATAAAGTAGAAAAAAAAACTCACAACATTAAAAGAAAAAGGAAGACTAGAAAACTTTGACTAGTTAATATTTACAGTTCATATCATTATCAATATGATACTATAAACTTAATTATATAAATTTAAATAAAAATTAACAAAGTTTATATGAAATGTTTAAATTCTAAACATGTATTTTCAAATGTTAAATTAAAAAAAAGTAAATTTATAACATTTTTAGAATGAAATAGGATGTAAATGACTCTAAATAAAGCATAATTAAAGAAGAAAAATTGAATTTTTATAATGAAAGTAGAGCTTGTCATCTAAAGGGGGAATGAGAATTTTTGAAACCAAAGTAAATAATTTTTAGTTAGGTGTATTTAGTATGTATAACATGTGTTGATAAGAATTAAAATGGATTTAATAATATTATTTAGTTGTAGTGGAATCTTCAATGTAACTTGAAAAAAAAAAGAGCAATTGATAAAATAAATAATTTATTGTTATAAGTTGGACAATTGAAATAAATAATTTATAATTAGTTATGAAGATGATTAGTTGAATGATAGTTTGATTAACCTGAAATAAAATTTTATGTAATATGCAATTTTTTAAACTTTATGATTTTTGAATTTTTTGAATCTTAGTTAACATAGTTATATATTTATATTATTATTATTATTATTATTATATATATATATATATATATATATATATATATAGAAGAAGTGTACATAAATAGAATTCGATTACCAAGGAAGGGGAAGTTTCCTCGAATTAAGCATGCAATGGCCGAGTTGTCAAGGTGTGTAAAAAGACTTGCTAGAACATGTTTGGTTTATAAAGGAAGTAAAGGGAGAAACTTTAATACGATTCGAGCATGCTTGCTTATCTAAAAGCAATAAAAAGGAAAAACTTTTACGAAAGTTTAAGCCATTTAATTCCCGTGCCTTGAATTGGATACAAAGTTCTCGTTTCTGCTACCATTGACCATCACAGTGTTCTTCAAGAGTATTCTGTGTGGCGGCATATGTTTTTATATATATATATATATAAATAAATTAAAATAATAATTTGTTTATTTATTAAAATTCATTTGGATATAATTAGCATACGAAAACAATCTCAAAACATAAACAAAAATTAAAATTAAAATTAAATAATTTTAAAAAAATTTCTCTTGAAAAACAAAAATAAACGTGATCTAAATTTCAACAAATGGAGCTTAATAATCCAGCGAATTGTATAGTTTTCATAGCTTTTAGGGCCCAGCTGACATTTAGCAATCATGATTAAAGATGTTGATGTTCTTCTTTTATGAGCAAATAGCACCCATCAATTGTCTTTTCATTCCTAGATTGAATTGCAATGTTGGAAATAATACATTGATATGTTGGCGATCATAAATCTTGGTTCTTCAATTTCCAAAGACCGAAGACTTTCCCCACTTGGGGCCTGAGTTGCATGATTCCGACAAGCCATCCATGCTCTGTTGTTTTGTTATAATTCATCGGATAGACTATATTTTAGCCCCTATATATGTTTTAATAACGTTTCACTTTGATTTTTATATATTAAAATGTTATAATATCAACAAGTTGACGCCTTGATGGAATGCTATTTCTTCCATCTCTAAATTTCCTTCGCCTTCTCCAATTCTCTCCATGGCAATATATGCATGGATATGATTGAGTT